GATCTGGAATTTCACCTCCCCCAAGCCCACCCCTAACACCACAGAATCTAGACTTCTCGGTGTCAGCACTGGAGGGGCACTGGGAGGCAGTCGTCTGGGGCGGGCCAGCTTCCTCCAGGTTCTGGGAGCTCAGCTTGGGCCCCAGGGGGGCAGAGGCAGCCACGGCCACTCAGCCACCTGTCACTCCCTAGGGGCTGGGATTCCTCCTGGCTCTCCTGTGCCCATTTTCTCGCTCTCAGCAGGCCAGATACAAACAACTGCTTAGGACAACTGGACCATTTCAGAAGTGGCTTGGCCTCAAGGGCCAGTGAAGGCTTCTGGGCAGGACCCTCTGAGATGTCTTGGTGGAGGCCAAGGCCCAGGTGGGGCCAACATGCTGGGAGCAGTAGGGCTGGTGCATGAGCCCTTACCCCAAACAAGACACTTTGCCAGAGCCACCCATATGAGCTACCCGCAGTGTTCCCTGGGCTGCCATGAGAAGGGGCCAGAGGAAGCTTTGGAGCCCTCCTGCTGGGCCTGGGCTGGCTCCGTCCCTTCCCCCACACACCCCAGTTGTCTCTGCAGCCTGGAACCGAGGTGGTCTGAAGCCCCTCCCCATCTCCACACAGACAGCCAATGGGGCTGAGAGGGACCTGGGGCCCCCCCCTCCACCTCAACCAAGTCTCCCCATCCTCTGTGGCCACCCATTCAGCCCAGTGACAGGGAAGTTCCATCCACCTGCCCCTGACTAACACTGGCCAAAGCCAACTCCTTTTGTCCTAGTCACAGGCTGCCCTCCCCCTTCCCCAGGCCCTCCCCTCTCCCCTTCCTGTCCATCCCAGACCCGGAGTTCCCTGAGCTCTGCCCCTACCTCTTATCACTGCCCTGATTTTTGGATGGGAGTATGGACACCCAGAGAGGAGAAAGCGTTTGCCCAAGGCCACATTTTCATTTAGTCAATGAGCATTTATAGAAGGTTGAAGCCAGGCTGGGTGCTGGACAGACAGACAGATAGGAGCTGAGAGCAGCCCTGCTGGACACTGCCAGACACTGCATTTCCCAAGAAGGCCCCTTGGCTCTGGCCCTCCTGAAAGAATGAAATATTGAGTAGGAGCTCATGGGGCAGAAGTGATGAGGGACTGTCTGTGTAAGCATTTTCACCAGGAATCTCCATTCTTGGGACTGTAAGCCTTGTGCCTGCTCACTCCATAGCAACCCTCTGCCCCATCAAGCTCTCTGGGAAACTGACCTAGCCATCAGAATCTGGCGTGCTGAGCCAGGGATCGCAGGGACCAGAGCAAGGAGGCCAGACCGAGCACCCAAGGTGTGTTCACAGATGGGGCCAAGGCCAGGGACTGTCAGTGACAGCGGGCAGCAGCCTGGGGCCTGCCCACCTCTGGCCCTGGAGGCCAGGCCACCTCTTGGACCCAGGATGTGGCCCCAGAGCCCCACAAACACCGCAGCTGCTCTAGTTCCCAGCTTTCTCTGGAAATAGGGAGTGAGCATGCTCCCTATGGGAAAAGCCTTGGCAGTGTTTCTGAAAGTGGCCCCTGGATCCCTCTGGCATCCAGGTCCCCTGGGACGTGTGCTTAAGTTGCAGATTCCTGCCTTCCATGTTAGACATTGAGAATGACACCCACAGGCCTCTTATCCTTCCATTTTCCAGTCCCCTCTCCACCCAGCCCTGCCCCTCCCGCTTCCCTATCCCCGCCCTTCTCAGTCCTCACTCATCTCTGTTTCCTGGTGCCAAATCAGTACGTGTTTCTGTGAAATAAGGTAATCCTCAAGTGAGTTTTGAGCAAGTTCCTCTCTCTGACTCAGTTTGCCTTTGGAAAAATGAAATGACACCAGCCCTACCCACCTCCTGGCCCCACCACAGCCACTCCTCAGTGGGAAGCAACTGTCGTACAAGTACCCCCACATCAATTTCCCCTTCTGAAAGAAAACTCAGGAACATTAACAGTGGGGGATCCAGATAAGGGAGTTCTTTGTACCATTCTGATCACTTTTCTGTTGTTCTAAATTAATCCAAAAGTGAAAAACCAAAACAGTGAAAATTATAAAAGAAAGCCAATCTGATTTTAGTAGGCGTCCAGAGATGACCCAAGAATTATGGTGGTGTGGCAAATCATTTAACTGGGGGTAGACACAATCTGCATGGTTGGCATAGACTGGCAGGGATGTTTAAATGGCTTTTCCTCAGGTGGGGAGTCCACATCCCTCCCAGCCTGGCCTCAACCTCACCTCTGGCTACCATGGCCCCCAAGGAGGCCACTGCAGTCCTGGCTCAGCCCATGGCCCTGACAGGCCCTCGCCTCCGTGCTGCTTGTGGCTGTGCAGCAGGTGCTTCTGGCTTCGGCCTCCTCTCTGTCTGGGCGACAAAACTGGGGCCTCCAGAGGTTTTGTGATGTGCTCAGGTTTGCACAACTAGACTGCGGCTGAGCTGCAGTCTCAACCCTGTCTGGCCTCCGAGCCACTTTCTTCTGCTGGGCTGTAAAGGCGCCTTCCTGTCCTGACGCACACCCTACTACCAACCATCTCCTGATGCCACTTTGCAACCCTCAGAAGCAATGACACCAACCTCTCCTGAGTGTCACTCTCAGAGGTGTGAGTCACTGACAGATCCCAACCTTAGGAGCCCAAAGGTCTGGGGAGCCACGTGGGCTGCCTCTCAGAGCTCTGGTGCCATAGGAAGCACCTCTCCTCTTCCCCGGCCACGGTCCTGCCGGATGGCAGGAGGGCCTGGCAGTGGGGGCAGCCTCCCTTGGCAAGCAGAAAGCAAGCTGGTGTTATGCCTGAGCTGGCATCTTATGAACTGTGGCTTGAATCGAGACCCAGACCAACGGGATCAGTCAGCCGTGGAGGCTGAGAGGGGAAGGGAAAAGGCAGGGTTCCAGCTTCTAGAGTGCATTTGGCCAGATTTGAAACTCTTCTTGGCATTCGACTGAGGACAGTTCAGGGACTGGGTGCTGATGCCTTCCGTGGGCAGGTCCCAGGCCCCCTGCTAGAGGCCCAGAATCTCCCCACTGCTAGATCTTATGAAGTCACTGGGACACTAAGCACAAATGCAGGACAGGCTAGAGAAGCCTGAGCTGAAGCGTTGGCTGTGCCTGGGGTAGATGCCCTCAGCTGGGGGCGCTCCATCTGGAATCTGGACACCCACTGAAGAGGAAGTGAGGACAGTTTTGATGCAGGTGGCAGCTCCTTACTGATGGCTCATCTCTCTTCCCAACTAGACTGTCATTCCTTGGGGCAAGACCTGCGTCTGAGTTATCTTCAAGCGTTTAGGAAGAACCTGCTTTGGTCTTTCGGGAACAAGGAGGAGGCTAGACTCAAGCATCCCCAAAGAACGCACTCTTCCTCCTGCGTCCAAGCCCTCCCCTTCCAGGAAGTCTTTTTCTAATCCTCCGAGCCAAGCCCGCTCCTGGCTCCCACAGCTCCTGGTGCTTATGCCACTCAGAGCTGCAGCACCCAGTGTGGTCATGGGCCACCACTGTCACTGACCTGTGAGCATCCATCCAGAGGGTGGAAATGAACAGATCTGGCACACCTGCTGTGTGCCTAGCCGTGTGCTGGATGCCTTCCATCAGCTCCTCACAGTTGAGTGTAGAGCCCCCAAGCCAGGCTAGGAAGCACAAGGGCTGGGGCTGGGAATTGATGGAAAGAGGGGGTAGGGCAGGTGAGGCGGATCTGCTCCTTCTCATCCTGGAGTGGCACACAGGTGTTGAGGCAAACAGCACAAGTACCAAGGCCAGCCAGCAAGCTGGCACCTGGTCTGTGCATCTGTCTTCTGGCCACTTGCTTCTAAATGGTGAGCAGGACCTCTGAACTGGCCTCTTAGGAGTCCCTGATTTTTCAGATGAGGCAGTGGAGGACCTGGGAAGGTAGGATCCCCCTCCACTGTCCCTGCCTTCCCCAACAGCTCTAAGTGAGCTGGTGAGGAGGGAGTGGGAACCTAGAGTCCCTCCCCATGCCCATGGGGCCCTGCTTTCTGTCCACAGCCACGTACCATGATCAGAAGTACAAAAGGCCATGAGGCCCAGGCAAGACTGGGTACAGGTGCCAGAGGCCGGGACCACTGCTGGGTGGGTCGTGAGGGGCTCCCTATCAAAGCTCACAGAGTGGTTATCAGATGCGGTTGTACTGCCTCCCACAAAGTGAAAATGAAGTGCAAATGGCTCAGTGAGAACACAAGTCCCATTGTGCCTCGGATGTCCCAAAGCCCAGGCACGCCCATCACCAACCTCAGCTGAGCCCCCAGTTGTCCTGGGTGGGAGGCAGCCTGGTGTCTTACCCCCTCGGACCCATGGAGGTTCCCGGGTGGCCCAGCTCAGAAGTTACAGAGTGGACGGAGAAGCTGAGCTTTCAGTCTCTTTCCAAGGCAAGGTATCACTCTGCCTTTCCAAAGAGGACAAGGCTCTTGGCTCCCCTGCCCCCATAAAAACAATCCAGCTACAGAGCCCGCTCCCAGCAGATCGAGTCGATAACACTCAGTGGCACTTGATTCGGCGCCTTCTGTCTGAGCATCTACCTTCCCAGTGGCTCCAGGAGATCGCCCTGTGTACAGCACATGCTCATCACAAGCCACCCGTGAGCTTCCTGCTCTGGGCTCCTGGGCAAGCCAAACTCTGGGTCTCAGTTTTCTCCTCTATTAAATGGACACAGGGTGAACTAACTGATCTGTGATTCCCTTATTCTTGCCGCCTGCAATCAACTCTCAGAGCACCCTGGCCCCAGGCCTTTTACTAACAACCCAACCCTCTCTTCCAGAACGAGTCAGGACGGAGGGACCCGGCCAGGCTTCTGCACCTCTCTCCTTAATTTCTTTGCTCTAAATGAAAACCAGAAAACTAAGCACATTGCCTCTCCCAGTGGAAGCCCACAAGGGATGCTTAGAGAGGGTGGAGATTATGGATGGGGAAATTGAGGCCCTGAGTTGCCCCCGTCACCCAGCTGGGCACTGTCCAGCTTCCCCCTCGCTGACTCTGCCGGGCAGCGCGACGGCGACTAGACAGCCCTACCTGGCACAGGTGCCCGTCTGGCGGGGCGGGCAGAAGGTCC